GGCCGTAGCGATGAAGAACCTGACCTTCCTTGTCAACTAAAAATTGGTGAAATTCCACTTTATCCGAGATCCCAAGAACCCATTTTTACTACCTTTTAGAAATTTGTAGACAGGTGCTGCGTTTGTGCCATTTACACGTACCTTTTGGAAAAATAGATAGTTAGCCTTGTATGTTGTACATGCAAATTCTTGTACCTCTTGACCTCTGCTAGGCTTTTGCTTTAGAAATTGATTGCAAAGAAATGCCAAGATCACTAGACCTCTGTCCTTGTATTTATTTGTTATAAAACTCAATCAATTGGGTATAATTTGTATCTGTAAACCCACATTTAGAAGCAACATTAACCACAAGCAAAACCTTCCCTTTATAGATGCTAAGATCAACATCCTTACCCTTGTAATCCTTGACAGTGAATTCGTCAATCGATTTTTGAGGAACGGATTCAGCTGCCCCCATTTCTATGACTTGACAGGGTTTCCTATCAAAATATGCACTAAACATACTGTTTGAATTGGAGGTGTTAGACAGAAAGGGAGGGGAAGGGATGGGGACAGATGATAAGGGAGGGTAAGTGAGAGGAGGTTGTCTCCTTCCTCTTGTTTGGATTTCCAAAGAGCAGAAGGAGAGGGAGATCGACTGATTCAAAATCCCTTCAACCACCCTCAAATCTGTTGATTTGCAGTCCCCCTAATTTGGGGGGTTTAGGAGAAATTTTCAAAGGCTGTTTAGATTGTATGAAATATAATTACAAAATTAGCCCTTTTATCCATTACCTTAATTATCCTCCTCCTCCTTCTTACAGCAACAGAACTAGAACTAGAGGCATGAACATGAGCCATAAAGCAGTGAGTATAACTTGAACACTTTTTGTTCTTTATCATATTTTGGCATTTCTATTTAGTAGAGAGATTACAATTAGTTCCAAGTCTATTGCTACGTTTGTTTATAGTCTAAATCTATCCAATAGAGAAATAAATGAGATTAATACATGTCAATACCAATTTACTCCCCTGTATCTCAACACCTCACTATTTTTATCTTCTCTCAGTGTCACTCCCTACTTTTTACCCCCTTGTTCTTCTTCGTTTCTTTCCTCCTCAATCTTCTGCTCATGTTTAGTAACAGTATCTTAGATTTCTTTTCCTTGATTTAAAGTTCATTGGAGCATCAAACCGAAACCCAATGGAGTTATCAAACGAATGGAAGTCTTAGTTTCCAATTCACACCTCCTTTAAGTCGCCACTACTTCTCTCTTCTTCCTTAGGCCCCCTTTGCCTCAACCCTAAACCCAATACCCCACCAAAAGCCCTATTCTCCTCACTATCTTTATTTCCTCCTATCCTCGATCCCACTCCTCAACTGTCCTTGTGCAGGTTTCTTTTCACATCCTCTCCCCTGTTCTCCACAACACACTCCATTACTTCTCTCTTTGGTACAAGCTCCTATCATCATGACCTTGCTGCCACATCTTTTTTGTTTCATAATCGCCTCCAGAACATTACTCCCATGTTCTTCACTAGTGATTGCATTTCATACATTCAATTCAAGTTATTGTTTCAAGATATTTATACCGATTGCCTTTCCCTAAATCCATCAAATTCATCAAATTTATAATTTTAGAATTTAGGTTTCTAGTAATTATTAAATTCTGCACCCAAGTTGCATCTTTACCTTTATGGTTAATTTCTTTTATCAGAACCTATTTACTAGCTTTGGTTTTGCTTTTGTTGCTCTACAACCAATTTTTTGGTTACTTGTGTTGCTTTTTCCAGAAGGTGTTTTAAGTTGGATTATGTTCTCTTGCTATGTTTAAGAGATATTTGTGCCCATAAAATATTCAGTTAGTTTTAAATTTTTTTTAATCACTTAATGTTTAGCTTGGTGATAACTTTGAATTTGGTGATAATAATTGATGACTTATTCATAGATTTGCAAGGACAAAGCTGAGATAGAGATTTGGTTTGCTAGCCTTCAAGCATTGATCTAGGTAATTCTAATTCGTGTCCTCCACTTTCAGAGGCTAAAGATTTATATATGTTGGAGGATTTGGAACTTAACTCAGATCAAATTACCTCTGCTTATTTATATATGCTCAAGCATTCAGATAAATTAAGAGCAGTACTAGGATGTGCACCTGGGAAATGCTTGGATATTGTTATGAGGTCTGTTTTTAATACTTCTTAATCATCAAGCTCTTGGGCACAATCATTATCTTTATTTTTTAAATTTGACTAATCTGGTTTGCATCAATTGGAATTTATGTTTGAATCATTTTTTGTAGTTTGGTTTTTATTAATTATTTTATTTCATTGTTTATTGGTGTGAATGAGACTACATTGTAATAAAATTATTTGCTTTTCATTTTCAAATTCATTGTTTATTGATGGCTTCATTTACTTTTTCTTTATTAAATTTTTTATTTGTTGTTTCTTCAATCAACAATTTTTTTCCCTTTAATCTGCATTTATTAATTTTTTAATCCAAAGCCATATTATCACCAAAAGAAACCATATGGTGAGCAACATAGTTTCTTTTGCACAAACTATGGTGGATAATGGAGTAATTGAATGAATTCACAAATGTCAGCAAGCAAGATAGGATAAGCAATCCCATTACAAGTCCAAAGGGTAAATTTGTAAATTTAAAATTATTTAAGTCCTTCCCTTCCTTTTACATTAATTATTCAAACATAAAATAATATAATCTTTCCCTTTCCTTCTCCTTCCTCATTTTTATTTATCCTAACAAAATTAACACAAATCATTTCCTTTCATTTTCTTTGCTTCCCTTTATCTTCCTTCCCCTCCATTCCCTTTTATTTTCTTCCATTCCCTTCCCCTCCCCTCCCTTTCCTTTACTATTTTCTATCCAAACAAAGTGTAAATGAAAAGCAAACCATAAAACTATTATATCATAAGTATATTTGTATATTTATATTTAAAAAATAAATAAATATAAGATTCTGGGTTAAAACATTTTCCTAAACAAATACAACTTAAATGGAAGGTTAATCCACTCATAGATGGAAATTATTTATTCTTATTTGACTACATTAAAGGAACATAATTGCCAAACTCAAGGCCATTATTTTATCTTTTTGCCCATAAAAAGTGGGGTTAAAATATGCATTTAGCCCCTCATCTTACTAAGTTTGAAATTTTTAACTTCTCTTTTTACACTATGAAGTTTTTAGCCCTTAAATTTAAAATTTTGAAGATTTTAACCCCTAAACTAATGAAATTCATTAACTCTTCATTAAAGTGAGAATAAAATATTTATATAATCAGTTCTCAAAAATTAAAAATGTAATAATTTAGTTCTAAAAATTTAAAAATTAAAAAAATTAATAAATTAAAAATAATTAGTTGATGAATTTACCACATACACAAAAATAATATTAGATATCTACAATCAAACTTTCTGTCTCTTAAACTTAATATTTCTTAGTTGTGTTCTTCTAGTCTCTTAAACCTTTTGTCTTAATTCAACTAAGAAATTTTCTTTAATCCTAGTCAAATTTTTTCTTCAAATTGAGTAAATCACTTGACTTATTATAGATATCTACTACTGTTTTAGTGTATGTGAAAAAGTCATATATTAATTCTTTTTAGTTTATTAACTTTTTAAAATTTTTAAACTTTTAAAACTAAATTGTTATATTTTTAATATTTGAGAACTAATTTTATAAATATTTTATTCTTATTTTGATAGAAAATTAATGGATTCCATTAATTTAGAAGTTAAAATCTTTAAATCTTTAAATTTGAGGGTTGAAAACTATGAGAGGTTAAAGAATTTAAATTTAATAAGATAAATAATTAAATGCATATTTTAATCTACAAAGTGGTACAAACTTATCAATCGGGGTGAGCATTCTTGGGTACATGTTGAGGATGAAATATATTTAATACTTGACTTGAAAATTTTTAGCTACAACTTTTTAAATTTGGTATTTACCTAAATATTTAAAGACCTATACTTCGTACTTAACCCAATAGATATTAAGTAACTTGCAGATATATATTTTTCAAATTAAAATTTAATAAAATATTATTTACTTTTAATCTAAACTTAAATATAATCTAAAATAATAATAGAAAACTAAAATTTAGTTTCATATCAAGAACTTAAATTTGCCTAATATTAAAAAAGTAAACTCAATTAAATAATTAACAATAAAGAACAAAAAATATATACAAAAAAATAAAGAATGAAAATAAATTAAATACCAGAATGAAAGTCTTTCAAAAAAATGTTTAGGTTTTAGGCTCATAAGTTCCTTAATTCTCTACTTCAATTTGTTAGAAAATGATAATGACAAATGGTATTGTATCTATTGTAATATCTTAATATCTATGTTTTTTACTTACAATTTTTATCATATTAAATTTAGAGTTTAAAATTAAAAAATTATCTATTCAATAAATAAAAATTGTGGTTCGAAAATCATTAATAGAAAAGTAAAGAGAAAATTCAAAAGAATTAAAATTTTGAAGTTATAAGTAGTTATTGTTGTCTAAGAGTACATGGAAAGAAAAAAGTTGTTGACTATATGTGTAATATATGTTTAGTTTAAAGTTTATTATTTATAAGTTGCATGAATGATTTCTTTTATTTTTATTTTTGTATTTTATTTTTTTATTTTTAAAAATTATTGTTATTTTTATAGATATTAAATATAATTAATACATATAAAATTTCAATTATATAAATATAAATAACATATCAATTAAATAAAATAGTTAAACAGATTAAATAAATAATTTTAAACCCTTATACTTAATAAATAATTTTAAACCCTTGTACTTACGGCTTAGTATTTGATTCTTATAAATATAATATTTTATACCCATTATTTACTCAATTTTTTATAATTAATATACTTGTCTAAACAGATGAAATACTTGTAACGGATATCAATGCTCCTCTACCGATCGGTTCGAAGGATATTAAAATAAAATTGCAACCACCCCAACCATCCTGTTTAAGGTATGCATGCATTTTATCACCCAGAAGGAAAACCTAGAAACCCCAATCACTGAATACCCAAATCGCCGATTCCATCAAAAACAATGGCCAGCGCCACTAAACTTCTGGGTCCAACGGCCGTCGCCGCTGCGGGAAAATCATCTGAAGATCCAAACACTACCATCATCACCGCAGCATTGGGCTCCGTAATCACCCAAAACACCAACCTTAATCTCAATCCCACCACTATTGGAGAACCACTGAAAGGCTTGACAGAGAACTTTTCTGCGACATTTTTGTCGAGCGGAAACCCCTGCGTGGATTTCTTCTTCCACATTGTGCCCAACACGCCGTCCGATCAGCTGATTCAGCGGCTTGAATTGGCGTGGACCCACGACGCACTGGCCACTTTGAAACTGATTTGCAATTTGAGGGGGGTGAGAGGGACTGGCAAATCCGACAAGGAAGGGTTTTATGCGGCCGCATTTTGGCTTCACAACAAACATCCGAAGACCCTGGCTCTCAATCTTAGGGCCTTTGCTGAATTTGGTTACTTCAAGGATTTTCCGGAGATTCTATATCGCATCTTGGAAGGAAACGAGTGCAGAAAGCTCCAGAAAGAAGAATGGAGGGAACGGAAGAAAGACAAGAAGAAGTTCAAGCGAGAGGGAGGGAGAAAATTGAAGGTTTCGGAAAAAGAAGAGGAAGGTATATTGGAAAACATGGCGGATATAGTCACTGTGAGTGAAGAAAAAAGCAGTAGAATGTTGAGGAAAGAGAGGGAGCTTGCTAAAGCTAAGAAAGCCATAGATAAGTACAATTCTGATCCCAATTATCGTTTCTTGTTTGACTGCATTGCTGATTTCTTTGCTGATCTTTTGAAATCTGATTTGAAAATTTTGAATGCTGGTAAGCTGTTCGACATAAGTCTTGTCTCAAAATGGTGTCCTTCGATTGATTCTGCCTATGATAAAGCTACATTGCTCTGTGAGGCAATTGCTCGGAGAGTTTTCCCTCGGGAGAGCGAGAAAGAATATGTGGGAATTGAGGAGGCGCATTATGCATACAGGGTTCGAGATAGACTGAGGAAACAAGTGCTTGTTCCCTTACACAAGGCTCTTCAATTACCGGAGGTTTACATGAGTGCTAATGAGTGGAATGCGCTTCCTTACAACAGGGTTGCATCTGTTGCAATGAAGAACTACAAGGGTCTGTTTGTGAAGCATGACAAGGAGAGATTCGAGGGGTATCTGGAGGAGGTGAAGAGTGGGAAGGCAAAGATCGCGGCTGGAGCTTTGCTTCCCCACCAGATAATTGCATCCTTGAATGATGAAGGTGGTGAAGAAGTTGCTGAGCTCCAATGGGCTAGAATGGTTGAAGATGTTGCCAAAAAAGGCAAGCTCAGAAATTGCATTGCCGTCTCTGATGTTTCTGGAAGTATGTCAGGGATTCCCATGGAGGTGAGTGTGGCCCTCGGACTGTTGGTTTCAGAGCTCAGTGAGGACCCTTGGAAGGGAAAGGTGATAACATTCAGTGAGAATCCTGAACTTCACTTAATCAAAGGAGATAGTCTTAAGGCCAAAACAAAGTTCATTAGAGAAATGGACTGGGGTGGCAACACAGATTTTCAAAAAGTATTTGATCAGATATTGGCAGTTGCTACCGAGGGGAAGCTGAAAGAGGAACAATTGGTAAAGAGGATATTTGTCTTCAGCGACATGGAGTTTGATGCAGCCAATGGTAATTTTCTCTACTATTCAAGTCAGATGGAAAATGGTGAGGAGTTAAACAGAGAGGAGATACTCCGAACACAATGGGAAACGGATTATGAAGCAATACAGAGGAAGTATCGCGAGCATGGATACAGTAAGCCTCCAGAGATTGTGTTTTGGAACCTCAGGAACTCGTCCTCCACTCCAGTGGTTTCTAGGCAGAGTGGAGTTGCAATGGTTAGTGGGTTTTCAAAGAATTTGCTGACTTTGTTCTTGGAGGAAGGAGGGATTGTGAACCCTGAGCAGGTAATGGGATTAGCCATTGCTGGTGAAGAGTACCAGAAACTTGCAGTGTATGATTGATTGTTATGTTTTCTGCACTTGATTGTGAAAAATGAGGGCTTCAGTGTTACCTTCTATGCGGATTTACTGATGAAATCCTAGTGTTTGCAGATCACAAAGTTGAGTTGTTACCATATAAGCTTATGTATTGAACAAAGTGAGAAGAAATTTGAAGGAGCTTTCTTTCTGTATAAAATCCATTTTCATGGTTTTTTTCAATTGTTGAAGGCATGATTTATGGAAATGGGCAAGGATACAGGGGAAATGGTTTGTTAATTTTGGGTCGTGAATGTTGGGCTACATTAAATAGTGTTTATAACTTCAGGCCCAACTTAAGACTGTTCTGGGTTGGATAAGAAATTACATCCATTGGTTATGGGCATGATCTTAAGTACTTATATTCAAGTATCCATTAGGTTGGCCCAACATATTTTTTTAACTTCTACCGAAAATGTTAAAATGATAGAGAAATATTTTTTTTATATAATTTTTTTTGTATATCTTGTAATGAATTTTTTTTTTTTTATTTTACATCAAAGATTAGTTACTTGGCATCACAATAATGAACTTAGTCACTCTACCCATATCATTACCAATTAAAGACTCATAATTTTCTACTTTCTTAAATTACTCATTATGGTTCAATACCTTTCTTAGTGGTATTAAATTTTGAGTTTCTCCTATGAAATCATTGGATATTAAATGAATGTTATGCCTTAAGATTTTATTTGGATCACAAATTTGATGATTAATGCTATTGCATTTTTTTTCATTGCAGTAATTCTTTGTCAATTAAAGTAGTTTTCTTTTACGAAAACATTAATAAGTCACCTATATCTTTTGTTGATTTACTTTTTAAAAAAATTATTATACAATTTGGATAGTATGAAATTGTACAACTAAAACCATTGAATAAGAATTAACCTTTTAATATTGAGAATTCTTCTCTTTTCTAACTATTTATGTTTTATAATTTAACATAATTTAAAGTATAAACATAATTTTGCATACTTTTACCCAATCAAATAGTGTAAGATTTACTATAGAAACAATCTCAGTACTACTTCCCCGCAAACAATCCTGCCCACCACATCCTTGTTGCCCAAGCAAGTATACATATTCTGAAATTAAAGATAAAGAAAAGAAAAATAAAGTATCCAAATTCTCCTTGCTTCCAAAGCAAATATCCCATAAGAAATATCCACCAATATTCCCAAATTTATTGTCTCAACTCTGAAAATTCCAACATAAACCTCTTTCTTTATTAACCGAAAAAAAAAAAAAATCCCTTTTTCTTCAGAAACCCTCCCAAAACCTTAATAACCAATTAGGCGCTAATCGCTAATCCCACCAAAACAATGGCCTACGTGACCCAACTTCTAGGTCCACCGACCGTCGCCACTGCCGCCGCTGCCGCCATATCATCTGAAGAAGACTTGAACACCACCACCACAACCACGGTATTTGACTCCCTAATCCACCAAACCATCAACCTTGATCTCAATCTCAATGCCGTTGGGTAACCAGCGAGAGGCCTGACAGAGAACTTTTGTTCGACATTTCTATCCAACGACAACCCTTGCTTAGATTTCTTCTTACATGTCGTGCCTGATAAGCCATCCGATCAGCTGATTCAATGCCTCAGAATGGCGTGGATCCATGATGCATTGACTACTCTGAAACTGATTTGCAACTTGAGAGGGGTAAGAGGTGTGAAGGAAGTTGAATCAAGTACATAATTAACGAGCAAAGAATCAGGACCTCAGCCAACAAAGGAAACAACCAGTAAAAGGAAAAGGGAAAGTATCTCAGGCAATTGAAAACCAAAGCACAGTACAAACAAAGGAAACAACCAGTAAAAGGAAACAACCAGTAAAAGGAAACAACCAGTAAAAGGAAAAGGGAATGTATCTCAGGCAATTGAAAACCAAAGCACAGTACAAGGAAGAATTGGTGCAACGGTCATTTCCATGATCTTAGGCAAAATTCTAGGATCTAAATATATCCCTGTAATTATGCTTCTGTAGCTATA